CTTCATCTTCCATGCATGTTGTGCCCTGAACACGGAAAACTGTTTGCAAGCACGTGGCTGCGATCTGTTCCAAGCACGTCCACAGTTCAAAGATTTCCTTGATCTTTCACGTAGTCACGAACTGGCCAGCCATTTGGAACAAGTTCAATGACAAAACTTTACTGAAGAAAAATTCTTGAAGTGAAAAATGTGACCCATACTGAATAGCTCTTGGCAGCTATTTTGCCTTCGTGCACGGGAGTAACACTATCCTCTCATAGTCTATGAAGCATTCTTTTTTCCGGGGCAAGCCCAAGGAAAAACAGAAGGGTCAATACATCAACGAAGGTGGATAGCTTTACTACACGAGAAAAAGTAGTCAACATTTACTTAGAAATCCACGGATTCTGCTTAATTTAAAGGATATCTAATTAATATGATAAATAAAAGAAAGTTACGTCTGATTGACATGGGCGAAGCCCGAATTCTTTCCTGGGCCTGAGGGGAAAAACAGGGAAATATCTGAGGGGAAATTTCCTGGGCGGGCAAAGCAGTAATCAGCTAAAAGATGCAAAGATGCTTAGCAATTAATGAACAATGGGCAATTTTGAGGGTTGTTCCAAGCAAAGTGATGATTTCCGTTCTTTTCATCCCAGTCTAATCTTGGTGTTTTTTTTTTTTTTGGTTGGTTGGTTGGTTGGTTTCCCCCATTTTATCTTTTTCCCTGGGGAGCAACCATCCCCTTTCCCCCTCGTGACACCCAAGCTATTTGAATACAACATTTCTGTAGAATTTTATACCAACTTTTTGCCAAACTGTACCGTTTCACGAAATGTTAGAACCCACTTCTGTAGGGCTGGCACTTCAGAATACGCGTAACCCATAAACAATTATGTGCCCGGCAGAAGGACATAAGCACATAGGCCCTTTTGCCGGGAAGCATGATCACTGCAAAAAACTTTTCCCAGCAAAAGGACGAAAGTATGCAACTATTGTATATTAATGAAATATGAAGATTTCTTGGCAAAAAGTAAAAAAAAAATGCCCAAATCCTTTACTCAGTTGTTCAAAGGTTGCTTTTTGTACAGCCTAGGTTGATTTTGTAGTAAATTATATCCGTTTTTATTAAATAGAGAAAGTGTTTCTTACGCCCTTTTGCCGGGAACATTTTTTTCTGCCGTGATCATTCTTCCCGGCGAAAGGGCGTAAGTGCGCTTACGCCCTTCTGCCGGGCACCCGACGTAATGCAGTCTGCATTTTCACGCAATACCAGTGGTCATACGTTCCTTGGTTGCTACGGATAGAGTCCTTTGGTTGCTACGTGTAGTTAGCTTGGCCGTAAAAGGCCAAATAGCTAGAACAACGAATGTCATGTGACTACTTCTCCGCCAATCAAGATGAACAACCTGTTGGTGAGGTGTTAACCTAATAATAATAATAATAATAAAAAACATGGCTCGCTCACGATCAAGCTCACAGAATTCAAACGGCAACCCGAAGGAGGGGGGCACAAACTTAAATCCGGAGAGGAAACCTCGGAGATCTCAATAGGGAGCTGCAGCAAAGGCAGTGCTAGAAGATATTGTCAAAAGTAACTGTGCATCTGTTACGTCTGAAGTGTGAAGGAAGAAAATCTTTATTTACGGTAAATATCAAACACTTATATTGAAGCAATAGATATACACTTATATACACATGCATACAATAATGATATCAACAGGAACGAATGTACATATAGTAGGCCTACATTTGGGGGGGGGGTCAGTCCCACAAAGTATTTTGCATCTAATCGTGACCCAAAAAATAAGTGAACTCATGGACAAAATGTCAGAGCAGTTTCAATTCAACCAAATTGGTTGTCAGTATGTGAAAAGACACGAAGAGTACTCTCCTTTATGAATGGGGTATACTCGGTAATATTATTCAATGCAAAGCAAATCCTTTATCAAAAACACACACTGACAAGGCTTATGTGCTTGATTAATTTGACATTATTATAGGTTTTGTCGACCAATTTCAAAAAAGAGTTCCCGTTCATCATAACAGGTTTAAAATCCATACACATATTTTTCTTTCGTTCATACTGGGGTTTCTTCTTTCTTTCTATCTATCACATAAACTTTCTTTTTCATCCAAACATGTGTACGTTTTAGTCATTCTTTTTAACTAATTTCGATTCAAATATTTTAACCTACCCCAAATTAACCCTCCATCTTACAGATATTGGTGCATAAGATTTACTGAAGTGCAAAGTCTGTGTGTTTTTTCTTGCTTAGGCCTACATATTTCATACTTTTTTAAACTTTAAGTGTTCAATTTAGATGTGATACCACTTATGTAAGGCATTCCATATATTTCTTTCATGGTAAAATTTGCTTTTTAACCCTAACCCCCCTCAATCCTTCACCTGTTGGAGGACTGAGGAGGGTTAGGGTTAAACCTGGAGGAATAAGATTAATGATATCCCTACTCCATAGTCTTAATACATGCACAAACTCAGCCTTTTTATCACAACACAGTCGCTTGTACAAGGCTGCCTCAACATTTCTTGTGACGGTGTACAGGAACTATGCAACACTGACAATTCCACATGAAAAGTTAAATGGAGAAAGAAAACTAAGGCACTTCGATTGTGTGAATATGAAAACAGTTTGTTTTCTAGTGCATTTCTCTACATTTTTTGTCTTTTGCTTTCCTGGAAAACTCACTCTAAAGTCATTCATATGCATGCAAATAGAAATCAGGAAGCACCTGCCATAAGTAACCAACGGCTTTAATTGTTTAAGCATGAAAACAAAGTTTGCACAGTTATTTGTAAGTCCTTTCTGTTTTCTTTCCTAGAAAATCCACTTTGATATATGGATCAAGAACCTTCCCAAGGCCTCCGATGAATTTAAATGGACGAAGGGACTATTTGAAGCATAATCCACTCATCTAACAAATGACTGTTCGGAACATAAAATCAAATGACAGTTTTGGATGTTGTAATTGTGATGCAAAGAAGCACTCAATCTAAAATGCATCTACATGGCCATACACTGAATGGCATGAGTTTTTAATAAAACTGGCAAGGAAAACCAAAAGAGTGGTGAATTTTGGGGGCAGCTTTTTAGCTGAGCCGATTTGACCGACTAGTTTTGGTTTTGTGCCAATAGCTTCCAGCAAGCCCTACACAATTTCAACGTGACACTGAAGCGGAAAAAATGTGACAACCATTGTTAAAATATTGTGTGACTTGATTCAATACACATGTAGTTTGCTGTATGCTTTGAGTTGCACTGAACAATGCAGTCTTATTGCAGTCTTGACACACTGACTATCAGCTACGAGTACACACATATTCACAGGTGTACCAGATTCCACCACTATGAATACACTCATAGGAAATGAGAGGCTATTGTAATGTAAATATGAATACACTGGCATCACTGAAGAACATGACAAATATGCTGTTGGCAGTGTGGAGGGCGTAAACATCTGTAAAATGCTTATGTTCAGAAGACACCTGAAAGGTACCTGTTAAATATGCCCACGTGCTTCCAATGCTTGGCAAATGGAACGCCCCTTTGAAATTGTGCGCGGCAGTCAACCTGTTGAACAGGTCAATGATAACTGGAAAGACAAAAGCAGTCACCTCTCTGAAACGAGACGGTAGATCTCAGTCACAAAATCACTGATCCAGGAAGACTTCACACCAAGGGTGGACTAAATCTTTCTTCCTCAGTTCCTTTCTTTTCAAATCTTGCAATGCTCCTTGCAACACTCTGCTCAATAGTTCTGGATACCAGGCTTGATCCCAGGCCAGGCGAGTCCTCCTTGGACCTCTGCCCTGTGTTCCCACTGCCAGGGGAATGGGACAAAAGCTGCTGGGCTATTTCCTCGTTGTCCTCATACTCAAAGTCAGACGAGGACACCAGGGTGTTGGTGGAGGCTCTGGAATCGGTGTGTCCGGCCAGTGAGTCCGGAGTTCCTCTGGAATCTAGGCTTGACCCAGCAAGTGGTTTGGCCGCTTTGGTTCTGCTGCTCCTCGCTATTTGTCTTGATAAGGGAGGCTGTGGCAAGGAGTCCAAAGCCTCTGAAGCTACAGAGAGCTGGGGCTTATGCCCCACAGAAGAGGAAAAAGTGTCCTTGGCAGAGGTAGATGGCTTCGGCGATCCGGTGGATGTTCTGGGTCTGCTGGGAGCACCGTTCCTGCTCCGAATCCTGGAGGGTGGAGGCTCGGGCGACTTGAGGGAAGCCGAGACGGCAGGGAAGTCGGTGCTGTTTGAGAAGCTTCTCAGTGACAGGCTGGTCTTAACAGCTGACTCTGCACCCTGGTTGGAGCCCGTGTTGGACCTGTGAGGCTGGGGTGACTGCTGTGAATGTCGAGGTGATGGAGGTGTGTCCTGGCCATCCAGGGATAGATTCTGATTGGCCGCTGTGTTGTGCTGGGTCGAAGTTCGGCTGAATACAGTTGGGCTCAGATCCTGGGCTGAATCCTGCGGGCCACTGTGACCATTGACCGTCCCTCCTCTAACTGACCCCTGGCCAGATGTTGCATCGCGCAGTGTCCTGAAATCGTCCTCTGCCGGCCCGTCCTGGACCCTCCTTGCAATGTCCATGATCATTCCGGTGGTCGACGCAACAGTGGACGTTGCTCTCGGGTTCCTCAACAACTCTTTGATGGTGCTTTGGGAGACCACTGCAACTGTTGACATCAAATAGACAAGAACTGAGACTGCCAAAAGTCTTCGGAAATATTTTAAAGTAGATATCTAAGCTTGCTCCCGCACAGCCAAGATTCACTGGTGCATTCTGCAAGATCAGGGCTTATGGGGGAATATTTGGCGAGTTACCCTCATTTTTTCATTGTACTGCAGAGCTAAAATTCAAGAGTATCTGAACCGGTATCAAGATCTTGAATTGTTGACAAAAGCTCTAATAGTTTGGCTACGACTTATTTCATAAAATTGGCACTTAAAGTCCAACTACTCTAGACAGCCAAGTGGAACCTCATTGAGGACATGACTTACAAGACTGTGAATCGCTGCCCTCCGATCGGGATGTCAGCATCTGCTCAGTGTCCAGTGAGCTGACAGGTGTGAGCAAGCTCAGTCTGCTTTCCGAGAGGCAAGACTCCCTTGCATCAGCTAGCAGCTTCTGCAAGACATCCTCTGGAAGTCTTGGCGTTGCCTCCTGAGGGTTTCATGTACACAGTGATTAGAGTTAGACCAGTGATTAGACAATTGGAAATAACTTGATAATATCCATGCTTTTTTGTTAATATAGTCCATGGAATAGCCGCTTCAATGAAAGAGGTCTTAACAGCCATTAGTCAAGGTGACTGCAGCCTTGATTGAAGTAGACTTGAATCAAGTCGGACTTACACTGCTCTTCCCCAGCCAACCCTTCACTAGTCTGTACACAATGATATGGTCGTTGCACTCGGCAGCTCGAATAACTCTCGTAAAGGCATCCTCATTTGATAGCCTTTATTGTACATCGTTTACGTATGTCAAACATTACAGTAAGTCTGACTCGACGGATGAGCCAATCAGACCCCCTGTCTGTGATGTGTAGTTATTCATTATTGCATATGAACGACATGTCTTGCATAATGTATACGGAATTTCCACCAATCAAAAGAGGTCAAACTTGGAATTCCACCAATTAAAGTAGTCAGCCACGTAGACTTGGCATTACACTGCAGGTATGAACAATGTAAAAACAAGTCTGGCAATTTGATTGGCTGCTACCAGTTTTGGTAGATGAGCCCATTCGCCGTGTACAAAAAAGTTAGCAGATTCGTCAAGTTGGGATTTCTGACCTCTCGGTTATAAGTGGACACAAAAAGACGCAGTCTCCATATCCAAAGTATAACGCAGACAATGTCACAGAGGATCCTGACTTGGTTAAGTCTATGATTGAAGTTATCAATTCACAGTATTTGAAAAAAGATTCGTACGCAATTGGATTCACTGCCAGTTGCAATGACCAGCTTTATTAACTTGCATTTTGGGCCTTCACCTTCATTACTAATTTTAGGAGAAAAAAATAAATTTTTCTGACAGAGAAGCTGCTATCTTGTTTCAAACACCAAGATGGTGGAAATCCTTGATTTGGGGTGGTCTGGGACATAACTCTGTATGGATAATTAGTGTTCATGCAGGTGGCAGCCTATCCTACCTTTTCCCAACATTGAGTCATTTAGCATGAAGCAATATGGTTTGGTCAAAGACGCTCATGACAACAGGCTATGACCTCACCCGCTGGTAGTTTGTTAAGTAATATGCATGCTTCACATGTGGACTAAAATTACTGTGGCAACATCTTGACTTTAAAGCTACAAACATATACGATGTTGGTGCAGATTTGGCAATTACTTGTATCCAATACAATGTGTTAAACATGGCGTTGTATTTTAGATTGTGAGGGGCCATTACCTGGGCCTTGTAACTATCTTCATCCGCTGAAGAGTAGACGTGACCAGACCGAGGCGATGCTTGGAGGATGGAGTCGGTTTCCGTGGCAGCCCTGGAACTCAGCTCCGAGCACTGCTCCAACAGCTCGGACAGGTTCTCTTGAGACAGACGCGGGGACTTATAGATCTGGAGTGGAAGCAAAGCAAGGGAGACATCATCTCAAGACATCCCTATCCACGAGGGTGTTCTCCTCTGCATGGGCAAAACATGCTACACCATGTACGCTACAGTAACGATGCAAGCAGGCCTACCTCTCTCTCCACACGGTTCTCAAGGTATTCCAGCTCAACCTCAATCCTCTTCAGTCGCTCCTGCTGTGTCCTCTCATCTTTAGTGTCTTTAAGGATCTTCTCACCGGGTTCATCTCTATAGTAGCTGCCTCTCCCCTACAACAACAGAAACCACACTGAAAATTGTTGATTGGAATGAAAATGAAAACATGTAGACTGGTGACGGGATCTCTATACACCCAGGGCAATACGCAGCTCCTGACATGTATCTGGTGTCCAGATGTCATGGTGATTCTTTCTCCCATGTGTCCTGAATGTTTGAATGCTGTGTAAGCCCTCTGATTGGTCGGTGGGTTCTGAGGGATACTACGACACTATTTTGCTCACTGCTAAAGAAATGGGCACAGACAGTCCATCCTCAGCCACTGCCAACATAGGATGCACTCCAGTCATTCACAATAGCAAAACAATGCTGCACTTCTTTCACAATTTTTGTTGACTGCATTTTTCGTTCTCCTGGAGGAAATTGCTCAGGTGCTTAGCTGTGAGCCTGGACAGTTTGAAGGTCATGTCAGCAAAACGCAGCTACCAGTGTCACCGCACAGTACACCCAATCTATTCAATTTCATGGAGCAGCTAAGTGGAATATATGACCAACGACATCTTCTCAGCTGAGTATTTCCAGAAATCCGAGCCCAACCCCAGTTATTCCATGCATGGCATTTGGGCATCTACATAAACTGATTTTTGACAAGCAGTTTAAAGCAAAGATCTCACTTGAAAATGGCATTATTTGGGGCTGATTTTTTTAATTCTAAAGACAACACGATATGGCAGCCAACTTTGGATATACAGCCAAAGTACCAAACAGCACAAACACTGATTCACCGGAGTCATATGAACAGTATTTTTGTATGGTATTTCTTATAACAACCTCGTATTTTTAAACACTCCAGGGCACCCCCAAAGGAGAGATGTTTGCTACAGCAACACGCCCTGCACAGTGGCCAGTGGTTAGAGTTTAACACACGGTCCACCTCCACAGAATTTGTGTGTGTGTACAAAATAAATGGGGATTAGCATGTTTAAACTTCAGCCACCGGCGAGTTGACATGCTCTTGATGTTTTTACCAAAGATCGTATAGCACCAAAGGCGCAAGATGGATAACTCTGCCCAAAAGGTGTAATTACCATGGGTGCCATTGAGCAAGCAATACGCCCGCGCAGTTTACAGTAATGCTTGGGCAGGCTCACCAGGTGCACGTGCCTGCCGCGGCGCCTGCGCATTAATGTGTATTGCGCAGGCGTATTGTTTGCTCAAATGGCACCTACGCAATTACAAGGTTTTACGTGTATTTACAGTGAAGTTCACTATCTTGCGCTTCGCGGCGCTATACGATCTTTGGTTTTTACCCATCAGCCATATCTGTGTACATGGACAGCCGGGTCAATGCATCCATGGTCTTAAAGTGTTTAAACTGGGCCTCTGGGTTTGTGAAGTGAGTGAGCTTCCTCTCAGCACTTTGACATAAAAAGCATTCAGTCAAACAGAAAGCATCAAAGCGATTTTCGTCAGCTTGGGATTACCTGCGACGGGGTAGTGCTGATGTGTTCAAAGTCCTCAGCAGGGAGCAGAGCCTTGAGCTTGGCGTCGATGTCCAGGAGAGCTTGCTGCTCGTCGGCATCAGGGATGTAGCCCACTCCAGCTGACAGCTGCAAGGCATTCATGCCATGGGTGCTGTCCGCCTGGAGTTAAGAAATGACAACAACGAAAGTACATAGGCTGGTTTCCTCTTTGAGTATGATGTAATGGCTAGGATAACCCCTTTCTATTTTTAGGTGCCCCCCTTCTATTTTTAGGCACAACACATACAGTGTCGTGCACATCAGCTACTTTTTCAACAGTGCAAAAGTTGAGGTACCTATGCATACAAATACAAAGAAAAATTGAGAAACTATTTTTGACTTGTAATGCATGCTGGGAATTTACGAAAAAGCAATTTATACAAGCCCTAACATTCATGACACTGCCAAGAAACCATGGGAATTTGTTCAGAGAATTACAGCCAATTTAGAAAAGTTTTGACGCACCACGTGGCTCTGAGTCATGTCCGAGTGGTCCCCAACCAGCATGATTACAATCTCTTTTTTACAAGCGAGGGTTTGAAAACCAAAAAATTCTGGGACATGCACCCATGCGCTTGAGTACTTCTGTCTATAAAGTTTCATTTCTACAAAAATACAGTAAAAACATGCTGTCTTTGATATCTTTTCCACTTAAAAACTAAAGCACCTACTGTCCACCTGTCACTATTCTCTGGCTTTGTTCACACCAGTTCAGCTAAGTACTGGCTATAACTGACAATGTCATTCCTACAGATGACGTGCCCACTGACAGTAAGTGCATGCATACTGCCTGGATTTACATCCAGCTTGCTTCGACCTGTCTGCCACACTGTGACCATTACACTACACCAAAAGTACGACTTTATAATATCATATGTATCAAGATTTTCAGTAATGAACAGGTTTCTCGTGTGCTTTTTTACACAAGAAGTCATCTCCACGTGATCACAATGCACTATTCTGTAAAAACATGGCACAGAACATTTTACATTTCTCTGGTAGGTAATTGAGGATTTGCTAAGTTGACACACACTAACTTTCTCCTCCTCATCCACCAGCATCTCGACGTCTTGCAGCAACTCCTCCAGACGCTTCTTCTCGTCGTCTGTCATGGCGATAACATTCCCTGCATCGCTAGCCAACTGTGGACATGAAAATGAACGACCAAATCAAAATAGTGTGCATAAACGCTAGGTCTTGCTCTTGCAAACGCTGCCCTGCAAAATTTGTAATGGTGACAAACACCATTTACATTTATGTAAAACAGTTATCAAGCACTTTTGCATGTTAAAATCAAGGTTCCCTCTCTTAGAAGCACTTTTGATTTTGCATACGGAAAACAGCAAAATGTAAACACTGCCATTTTTGGCAATGTATAAGTGATCACTTAGCATGCAACACTATGAGTAGACTGTAATCATGTGTCAGCCATCTTGAATTGAAAGTGAGGTAAAACCTTTCATTTTGGGAACCTGAGACTAAAAATAACAGCGATAAAATAAAAGTTCATACAAATTCATGCCAATTTTTGTTTCCAATAAATTTGTGATAAATGATATCAAAATGTTTTATGCTGTGTCTGAAAGCGAGGTTTGGAACCCCCCAAAAATCTGGCACCATGCCATTGAAAAGATTGCACTGAATAATAGATTCAGGGAACAGGATTTGTGAAAAATGACTCCCCGTGAAATAAGGTCTATCAGCAGTTTGAAAGCTGGTAGATTTAAATGCTGATATTTTGTGTTTCAGAGTTGGGTCATTCTACAAATTGGGGGTCATTTTTCTCTGTTCCTGTAACGTCTGGCATTTGATTTTTCATGTTTAGAGCTCATTGTTTAATTTGAAGACTGAATAAGTACTGCAAATTTCCTCCCGAACAATTAAAAATAGTTTGAAATCAATTTCAGTGATACATCCCTTGTCAAACTTGTCAGATGGTATACATGTCAGAGGTAACAGGGACAGAAAAATGCTACACTTTGGACCCCAAATTTATAGAATGACCCACCTGCTTAATAACCCCTGCATGGCAAACAAATGGTGCTGACGTTATAGTTCCAAAAACCGACATAGTGATCCTTCTTTTCTAACAAACATTGTTCATAGCCAACATCTCAGCTCTTCATGGACCACAAACAGTTCACCATTTACATGTAGCTCTCTCCACTTCACCTGATTACATAGAAGGTAGTTATGAACCTACAACTTTCCTCTCAGTGGAGTCAATCTTGACTTCAGTAACCAACTTAGAGCAGATGGTACTGCAACGCAGTCACTTGTGATAAACTTTTTGTGCAGAGGTGCAGCAAATTTTCCACAAACAAGGGTTGACCTTTGTTTCAAAGAATAGGCCAGGATTAGAAAGCAATACACTTAGTAGGTGATGTCCTAAAGAAAATTACTTTTAGCAGGTATGTAACCCCAGACAGAGTTTGGAGGTAACCAGGGCCCAACACAAGAAACTTACATCTATGTTCCTCTGGATGAAGTCATTGCCCCCTCCTGGCAACGTGTCATCTGGACCTTTGGCCTTTGACCTTTGCCTACCCCCACGCTTCGTCTTGCCCTCACCCGCTACTTGACTACTTCTGTCAGTGCTGTTTCCTGCTTGAAGTTTAGAATCTGGTGGAAATGCAGAACCAAAAAAAAAAAAAACTTGTGCAGGTGAGTCGGCACTTTCCTAGTTCCACTGGTAATGCGGATAGGGTTGTCACTCTGAATTCTTGGGAAGTTCTTCTCACTCCAAAGGGAGAAACGACCTTTTTTACACTGGGAATACGTAAGCACCTAGTCAGTTCCCCCATTCAGTTCTTTGATGAATAATATTCAAAGAGCCGTATCCCCCTGAGAGATCCCTGTTCACCACTTCCCAGGTTGCATCGTGTATTTGGGACTTGATCCCCGGCTATGTGGTGTTTCAGGTTTCATGGCTTCAGACAAGCATCCCTGAACAAACATATTGGCAAATGGGAAGACTGGCCAACACTTGGCTGGAGAGCTCGGTTAGTAGAGCACCAGGACGGTGTTTAAAGAGGTCACATGTCCAGATTACACTCCAGTCAATTTCTCCGTTCATCTTTACAAATTAAAACAATCAGGGACATGTACAACAATGCTTTTGAAGCACGGTCGAAATTGGGAGTCTATTTTGCACACCATAGCAGTGACTCTCGGACTGAATCACTGCATGATGCCCTCACCTAATCCCATCCATCATAGTCAAAATACCTTTGTTTCTCTGGGCACCGTTAGCCTTGTCCCCAGCGATGGGTGTATCCCCTTCAGCTGGCTGGGTCTGGAATACTGGATCCACTGGCTCCTGGTCCAGAGAAATCCCTGGAGACCCAAATGAAAATGATGTCATGCCAAAATCAATGTCAAAACCCTAGTCTTGCCCACTCCCCTAACGGTAAATATGATAAAAGCTATCCTGAAGGCTGTTCCACACAACAGGTGATTGTGAAGCGAACCGACATCACAAAACATCTGCAGCCAAATTTGCTTGAGTTGATACGCATTCAACTTTTGTGAATTCACAGCACAAACACTGCATCTGATGTCACAAAGCGGCATTTGTGTCCCTTTTGTGGCAAGTGTGTACCGACGTTCAGTCTGGTTTCGAAACATTTCATCGTACAACTGGAATAAAATCAAACTGGAATGCTTTCTTGATGTTAACCAGATTGCTTTTTAATGACTTGAGCCAAAATCATATAGAAATCACCAGGGTTAAAGGGCTGGAAAGTTTCATGACCACAAAGGTACTTCTCCTCTGCATGGCAATGGGTACTTGCCCTGATGGACTTAACAACGAGGAAGGGGTGGCAGTGTTGGGGTCCAGTCCATCCCAAGTCCTTTCACAAGGCCCCTTTGCACAATGCCTTTTTCCAAGACCAGTTGTGAGTAATTGGGTACTTGTTACTGGGGTCGTAATAAACAGTCATAGGGGTGGACGAGGACAGAGGAATGCTTCTGTCATAGCCCATCTGAATAGCATGTGACTCAGCTCATGACTGAGAGACTTGCGATGAGCTGGACGACAACGCTGATGAGAGGAGAGGGGGAGAATATGTCAGGGATGGGCTCGGGGCTGGTCTTGCTGACCTTCACTGTGGCTGGCTGGAGGCACCAGTGCCAAGAAGCGGCTGGTGTTGTCTGACACCTCCCGCTGTTCATCCCTACCCTCTGGCTTGAGGCCCTGCAGCTCTCGCTCCATGTCACGATGGGCCTGCAGCCGCTGGCGTTTCACCTCCTTCTCCTAGGAGAGACACAAATATTGGTGATGCAACTCTATTGCCAAAGGGTCCATGCTAGGAATCGTCTCTGATATACACATTCTGTGAAACCGTCAGCTCCTAAAATAAAGCCAATTTTCGGTACAGTACCCAGCACATCAGTAGTCCGAGTATGGTACCTACATCAGGTTTATTTTTGGTAAATCTCATGAAACACTTTGCTACAGTGGGATGCCGCATTTGTCGATATTTAAAACCCACTCTAGGCCATGTGACTTAGCAGCCATAATCTATTAGCTGTATTCCAACCTAATTCACTGATAAACACTTAAAACTGACTGTGTGTGGCATGTTAAGGAAGGACACTGTTGCCGTTGATGTCATTCAGTCATGGGATGTCATGAGAAAAACGCTTCAGTGAGAGCTGTGAGATTGTCGGAAAAAGATCATCTCTTTCAGTGTTAAACAGAAAATATTTGAGACAAACTGGCTGTACCTTGAGCACCTTCTTGGCCAGGATGCGGTCCAGTTGCTGCATCTTCCTCATGGCCTCTCGAATCTTGGGATCCGGGATGCTGTCCAGGGGATCAGGTCCGGTCGGCGATTTGTCAGCTCCACTGTTGCTACTTCTCTGATGACCCTCCTTGGATCTATCGTTGTTGTTGTGACCATTGCTGTTTGGCTGCTGTGCACCCCCATCTTCTATTGACAAGGAAGGAAGCACATTCTGATTGATCTGTAAGGCTGTTTCTTTTTAATCCCTAATGACAATAGATATTGAAGAAAAAACGAGGGATATCAAATAGTACGAAAAACATGCTGGCGAGACGCAAATCAACCACTCAAACACTGATACATCAACAACTATTACTCAAGCTTTCTCCATACATGGGCTGATCCAGGTCAAATTTTTGGAGTAGGAAGAGTGTTGGCCAGAGGTACAATGTACTCTTTTCAATAAAGGCAAAGTAATTACATGTAAATACAGATTGTGTCATGTCCTATTAGTAAGCTTGAGAAACCCAAAGGCAATGCACACCACTAACCATGAAAGTTCTAGCAACAGAATTAGTAGATGAGCCACATCCATATGTGGCTGGAAATAATACAGGAGTCCATGGAGGCCACTGGGCTAGCGGCTGCAGCTGCCTCACATAGACTTATGTCTCACTACAATCCATAGCCAAGTAATTTGGACACAGTTTGTTCTTTGTTGGGCAACCTGCTATTAACCCAAAGGAATGGAACAGGGAACGTACATGTATCAAGTATTCAAATGGACTTGCTTATGTACAGTTTAAAAAAGGATGACTAAATTTTCATCTGAATGTGCACAAACCCATGTAGCATCTTTGCATGAACACTTAGTGGCTATGGCATTCAACTGTCACCATATCATTCTCTGTTCCACTGTTATTGGGTGAACTGTGATAATCAAACGCTGGATGAATCTCGTCTCCAATAGGCCCCTGTAACCTGTACTGATGATGCCGCACTTTCAAATGGCGGCAGCGGGGCCGATTGAGCACCATGGCAGAGTGTGGCACTGGGTCACAGTCATCGCTTTCCTTATTTTCTTTTCAAGCCAAGGGTCAGTTGAAGTCATTCATGTTGCATTACCTTTGCCGTCGTCTGACTGGCTGCCCACGTTGCATTCGCTGTCGGAGTCCGAGGAAAACAGCTCAACGACCTCCAGGTCAAACTCCTGTGTGAGATGGAAACAGCATCCAGGACACAAGCTTTAAGGAGTACGTGTGAGTGTGGGTCCACATGATGGTTCTGGAGCTAATGCCTTTTATGAACATAATTGTTCATGAATGGTTCAATGATTTGAAGGCAATAGGCAACAAGTACACTGTAACACTAGACATCACTTTGTCAGTTGCTTCTCAAAAGGCAGGTTATTAACTGATGTGGGTTTATAAAGGCCACGTGCCTGAGTACCTCTGTGGTAAAATCAAGTTAGCACGAGAAATGACACACCAATGTCAGAAACCCATACAAAATCTCTGCAATTAATGCACACTGATAGAAAAAGAAAACAGGATGGGGAAAAGGAAGCCCCTGGAGATGAGAAACAGCTTTATTTATGTACTTGGCCTTATGACTGAAAAACTGTGAGGCTCAACATTGTGGTCTGGTTGGACACCAAAGGCCGAGTTTGATGCACAAGTCAGCGGTCAATTTCATTCACTCAATTTTTTGCGTAAAATAAATCTTGGATACCGAGTAAATCAACCAGTGCTTGGCAAGTGGTTGCTGATGGGACTTGGCCCAAGACAACTACATGTACTCAAACATTTACAGTCTCTTGAGTTTGGAAATGCTCCAAGCATGGGAAACAATGATTTCACAACCCAGTCCATCTGTGGGGGGGGGGCAGAAAGCCAGAAAAGAAATAGACAGGAAAAGTATTGTTTCTCCTTGTTTGTACAAACTCCAATTGTATTAACCCTAACACTCCTCAATCCTCCAACAGGTGAAGGATTGAGGAGTGTTAGGGTTAATGTTGCGAGGACAAGCCAAATTTACTTTTTTATAATTGATACCTTGTTGTAACAGTATAGGAAAGAATTCAAGAGATCGGGACCCTAAGAACGTATGCTTTTTACAACAGTGGTGTTGGTTAATAATGCTGCTTACCTGTTGATTGACAACTGGGGACTCAGGAGGTAGGATCTCTAGGGAGTTGCTTGTGTCAACCCCTTGCCTAGTGCTACCAGCAGATGATGGGGTTCCCAGTGAGACACGACTCCCCGGCCGGAGATGACTGCGATGGTTGCTGGCTGGCCGGGATATCTCAGCTAGACTACCTCTGGTGATATCCATTGCTCTGTGAGATACAAAATGTTTGCAGTCATGTGTAAAAATTTCCCAAATGAGTGAACGGATTCAGATTGGATAATTTTTTTAAAAAAAGGACCACTATAGATTCTTACCAACTCAACTAAATGGAACTGAACAGCTGAAAGAAGAATTATTCAAATAATTTTGAAGGCTTGAATAAAAATTTTAGTGGTTACATTCTTAATCTGAGCTAAATAGCTTCGACAACAGGATGGTCTGCTAGGCCTGGAGGTCACAAAACTGGTAGGTCTAAGTAGAAACACAAGAAAGTGACCTGCTCTGCAAAAAGGGTTTCCAGGAATGCTGTGCTATTTCATGCATAAAGGGCTTTCTATTCGGAAAAGGGTGATGTTTTACTTCTTGGTTTATTGGCTAATATTATATCAATACTTTCGTAATTTATACAAAGAGCCTCGCTGTTGCTAGGGACATTCAAGAGACTTCCTTCTTGGCTGATTTCTTTTTTCACTTCCTGTGTTTAAGGGCTTTACCTGTGAAAGCACTTCTGTTAAGGCCGTGAGAATGAATATCCCAGATTTCCGTCCACCGCCCGCATACTGCTGAAACAGCCACCAAACAAGTTCATTATTTTCCAAAAAGTTATTATTTCAGAAAAACTGTTGTTCTTTTCCGTCGGGAATGGTTAAAAAATGGCTGCAAAGTAAACTGGACTTCGTAGTGTGCCCACATACAAATGGGATGAGGCAATACGGACTGAGAGGTAGTCTACTTTCAAGGTTGGTTCCCTTTGCATGGACGCGTACTCCCTATCGATGTGCAGTTTGCTCACCAACTAATGAATAATGAAAAAAGCCTCATGGATTTTCAAACTTGTCTAGACAGAAATCCGGGAAGTTCTTCCTCATGGCCTAATGTGATATGATACAAAAATCAGTACAGACTACATGTATCTCCAGATTGCAAACTGCCACAGGGTTCAAACCTACACTAAATTAAAGCTATAATGTAACCAATTCAAATGAGTATGTAACTCAGTTTAAAAAGAATGTCCCATAATACCCATTTTTGTGGAGTCAGTCACATATTTTGCATATGTATTTTTAAATACAGCTGGCATTGTCTCACAGCATTATGAACGTTGAATATCCCAACTGATGTGGGGTTTGCAATTAACATAACATGATGGGGTTTCGTGATCTTCCATCCATGATAAGGTAATTCTTTTCCAAACAGAAGTTGAAATGCTATCCTTTGATTCAAATCAGAATGTACACTAATTGTAGGATATGTCACTTTTCTCATGATTCATGGCTCTTCGAGAACTTATTTCAAGAGAGAAAAGTCTGCAATTGCACTAAGATCTGACAGAAGTCTGAATTAGGGCCAAGGCCTCATAACGTTTGGGCCTAGCCTTAGGCAGCCTATGGAGCAGCGCGGATACCTGGGAGTTTCACAAATTTATGGGTAGCAATCACATTGCGCGGGTGAAAGCAACTGCAACGAGCGTGCGTACGTATTGAGCAAAGAAAAGAGAGGGCATAACCTGATCCTCGGACTGACTGATGCATGCGTACGTCGCCAAGGTCGCTGTTTTCACCGGCGCAGTACCTGTCATTTTGCAAGAATCCCGGATGTCCATGCTACCCCAAAGGCCTAAATACAAATTCATGTTCACAGTGACAATGTAGGTCTATAGGCCTAGAACAGAATTACTGCAGTAGGCCAACAATTACAAAACACTCACTTCACTGGGCATGTTCACTGCTGTGCTGGAAGGCTACAGCCTAATTTAGTTTTAGGAAAACACTCAAGGACTGTCAAATGGCTGGGTCACACAAAAACACCTCTTATCATGCTTAAAGTTAGCCCCACTAGTGTGGCACGGAGTCTCGCTACCATAGCGAGAGTCCATGCTACACCAGTGGGGCTAGCTTAAAGTTATGGAATCACGACAAAAGTGGAAACGTTACAGCCTAGGCCTATAAAAAGCGGTCATACTAATTAGCGTCAACACAACGGGTCGTCAACACAGCCTCAACACCTCCAAAACACGTTAAAAAACAAAAGAAGCTGTATTCCATAGTAAAAAGTGTTCGAAAGGATATTTTGGCTTAACATCAACTGGTTAAACTCTAGGAAAATTGCCGATTTAATTTTGCCGAAAGTCAATTCAGCAGCCATGTTGCCCCTAGGGCAGCTGGGACCATACTAATACACTAGAGGGGTGGTAATACATGTTTAACAAACATAGGACAGTCAGTCGGATCATCCACAAAATGTAAATATTTCATAATAGGATGTGATCGTAGTCACAATCAAAAAAGATTGAAATTTACAAAATGCTAACTCACAACATGATCCAAACAATGCACAAACCATCTGCAGCTGCCGGTTCCCTCCAAAATGAATCTTACGAAACCTGACAGATTCACCTTCGGTTCGCACAATGTCAATCATGGAGGTAGAAAAAGACATGACATGCACCATGCATGGTCTGGCATGTCTGGAGGCTAGGAAGGAAGACACATCATGCACCTGATGCACAAGGGCATGTGATGCGATGACGGAGAAGAAATACAGCCACTGTTATATGATATATTACATCTGAGGCTAATGGGAATGGCTACGCAATAAAAACATAGCTCGCGGGCCTAGGCCTAATTAAGTTAGGACCCTTATTAACATCACGACAATTGACATGAACTTGCCTCTTACCATTAAAGCAAGGAGAAAACAATACCAAGAATGCTGCGTCAATTAAAGTTACTCCGATAATACTCCAACTCAAGTCGCTTCCTCCTCAGGCATGGTTCCTAGACAACGACAACGCGCCGCCATGTTCGTTCCTCTGCATTGTGTGGAGCATCATGGGATACTCGTACTCCAACGCGAGAGCGCGAGATATTGACACAGCACGCGCGCCACAGGCGGGGTCAAAGGGGGGGGGTTGTAAAAATGAAAACAGGTAGTGATTGCGGTTATAGACAAAAGGTGATATTTCTGAATATAAACCACTCTAATTTCCTACAAGTTGCAAAAATAACACCTTTTGGTTGGTTTAGATTTCGCCTCCGATTCTTTCAAACCGATGATTGCCTATTTCCCACCGATTTTAAATATGGAAGCATTTTCATTTTATGATTTAGTATTTTAAGTGTATTATCCGGAGTTCTGATAGCTGCGTGGGATTTTAAACACTTTCTGATTTATTCTTGTACTTTGTACGGATTGCCGGCCATAGTTTTAGCAGCCACTTGTAGGAAAAACACGACTGTGACGTCAAAAGAACAGACCCTATTGTCTTCATGCAGACAAGTATACAAAGCATATATATTATGCACTTTTTGTCTACAACTCACCTACAGACAGTACAAATCTGAAACAACAAACATAACAGTTTCAATGTTGGATGCTGCCATAATCTTAACATTAAAAAAAGAAGAAAATATCATCTCAAGGAAGATGGAGAGAGTCATTTTTAACGTGTTGGCGTTTTCAGTCCCTTATCGATGGCAACCTATTTGGGGGAGGGGCAACTTGCCCAGGACCGCGCACCCTGCCTACCCTGGGTACATCATTGTTTAGAAGTCGATTAGAGTGCTATAATTTTTTTATGTTAAGACTGAAACATAGCTTGCACATGTTAGAAGAAAAATAACCTTTCAAAATCGAATCTAAATATCTTCTAAAAGCCCGTCAATAATAGCTCCAGCTTACATTTTCCCTGTCTCTGCTGATGAGAATGGGCTGTCGCGTTAAACTGGATTTTTGATTAATCTCTTCATCAGGCTTCCGATTAATTTGAATGTACAGAAGGACTATTCTAAATATGACTCTCTTTAATGACTGCTCGAAAAAAAAAGGAAATAGTTACTCACTCTCGTGAGTATAACGTTAGAGTACGGGTTTAAAAGAGCATTTAATTCAAAATAAAGTTGATAGTTACGATTTTTATTCACTTCAAATGTAAGAATTAATTGCATCTAACTCTTAATGAATGAAGCTGAACTGAAATAGGAACACTGCACCAGCTGTTACATGGTTTAAATGGTTATTAACAAAAGACATCTTCGCAGTAAAATTGCGACATCTTTTACAATTTTCATACCAGTGATACATCAAATAAACATTAAACATCTAAAACTTGCACTACTTGAATCAAAGTAGTTACACATATTATATAAAAAACATAGAGTAACAACTGACCACTTAAAACCAGAATGGAGAGGGGAAAAAGAAATATAAAAAGGCAAGATTCGAGAGAAGGGATATCGTCATTCACTAAAAAGGAGATGACAAAATCCAGCTTTCTGACTCGTGTTATAGTGTTCATTAGGCCTATAGGTTTGTAAGATGAGGAATCGGGCTTCTCCTAAACCTATTTGTTATGCATTTGTACGATCCATATTTTGGTTTGTATGTCAGATGTATGTCATATGATGATTTCTTCAATATATAACCCGGCTTCTTTTAGTCTTCTCAACATAAACAGTTTTCTACTTGCCTTACGATTCATAGCATCGATTTGTTCCTCCCGCTTCAAATCATTTTGAAATATCACCCCTAGCACTGGATTTCGCCTTATCTATGACCAGCAGTTTGTGACCAGAGATATGCACATCTACATCAGCCGTCTTACTTGTCTTTCAAAGTAATAATGATTTGTATTATAAAAGGCAATTTCGTTGAATGTCGTTTGGGATTATAACCGCGGCAAATAATTTTTCACTGAAGAAGTGAAATAAGAATTCTTTAACATGAAACACTGCCAGAAAGAATATCCTTGTCAAACATTTCGGGGAAAATTAGATTACAGAAAAAAAACACATTGATTGTGCGGATAGCCTAGATGTTTTGCCACGCCGTTGACGGAGCAAGGGGTCGGAGGCCTAATTTCAATCTGAAGCATAAACAGAACACAAAGATTATGCGGATTATGGCAAACGCGGGGGACTTATAGAGGCTGTGGCTTTAAGGTTAGGCTGTAAGAGATAAAAACGATAACCCTTCTGAAAAAAAGGTACACGAAACAAAGATAATGTGACCATTCAGGAGACTACCAAGGTGGAGTGTACATCGTCCGTTAAGCGCAGCTGTGTGGCATGGGGCTGTAACAGCGTCGGTAAGGTTATTGGCAGTTTTTATTGGTCATCTAAGTACCTAGTCCACTTCACAACAATTCCTTTAAACCAATTCCTCTTGCAACGTCGACGAACATTTTTAACCACTCAAACGTGTTGATAAAAGAACATGCTTCAAACGGTTTCCGTTGAACAGGCTGAACTTTTTTTTGGCACCGTAAATCAAATCTCCAAACTGGGTTGCCCATTTTCTGTCTTCATGTATAGGCCTATCTTATGGACTTTCCAATCAGACAACAAGAACACAAATCACTCATGAAGCAGTAGCACACAGTGTAGCAAATTTACATTCAGAAATATTGTACAGAAGCTCAATTGGAATGTTTCCAAAGTGATTAAGGGCTTGGTAAGCCTAACACGAAAACACTGAAATGCGTGGCTGTACTCTTGGTCTAAAATTGTCATGGTCATAAGCCTTCAACGCTGTCAGTGTCACCCGTTAGCCTTTTTCTAATGTGTAACGTCCCTGCTTTCATTTCACACACCTCCATGTAAGATTTGTACCACAAATAAGCATGCTGAGCTGAAATGCGTTGGTGGGAAAATGAACCAATCAGTTTTAAGAAAAGAATTCTGGACAGTAAACGACCGTTTTGAAAATCGTAGATTCCAAACTTGTCACTTGTTTCTCAACAGAAAATCCCCATACTGTGCGCAGAATTACCGAAATCCACTGATTTCTTGGAAGTAATGGGACCTTGCTTTTTGAAAACGCTCGGGAATTCTTGAGATTTTTTCATCCCTTTAGTTCGTGGCCGATGTGGAGGAGAACCCCAGTCATGTCACTGAGGCATGAACACGGTGGGGTGCCGAGCTTAATGAGAGGAAGGCTCGTCGAAAAACCTACCCGTCAACGGCCCTCACCCTCCGAGCGATAGAACAGACAATCAGACTATGTGTCCCGTGTCTAGACACAGCAGTGTCCCCCCCCCGCCTCTTACCAAAAAGATCTGTACGTCCATTTACTTGCTGTGTAAATGATGCTGGGCACACCACAACAAATAGTTTGGAAATCTACATTTCATGTATAAATGCCTCTATATATCACTGACCGATCTGAAAAGAAAGTTGTAAAAATCGAAGTTTGAAAAAGTTAGATTTTGTATACAGCGCTTTTTTCCCACCATCAACCTTGGCAACCAGAAACAAAGTAATCAAGACAGTTTCGGCCTATAACAGCAAACTGTACCTCAAATTGTTTCCTTTTCTTGAGCGAATTTCCCGCACTATTAAAACACGAGTGCTTAGACCATAAATTCACCTTTTATGTACGGGTCTGGTACTCAAGGTTCTCAGCGCGCTATAGCTGGTAATATACCATCGAAGAACACCTGTTGACCCCCTGCCTGAGACATTCGATGCAGTATCCTTCATAAAAGCTTTCCTCCGTATACGGCAAATCACTAACATCCTTGTGTCGTAACACCTTACTCTTTTGGTTGCATTTCGCTCTGAATTTCTAATGTTAAACATATTTTATCAATCGTAACGCGAAGAACAAAAACAGCCACCTTTTCCGAGTGTTCTTCGTGAAATATAAACTTTTTGTTGAACAAAGAAGAAGTCCGTTGATCTTCAAGTTTTTTTCAAGAGAACATCAAAGTGTCTTTGCGTTGGCATCACGGTCTCGATAATGAATCCTCGCAATTTGTTTGAAATGTAAGAAATAGCTGATTCAATGTTTCAACCCCACATTTTATACCAAAGAATAAAATATTGCAAACATTTCAGATATTTCAACTGTAATCGAATTGGACAGGAAGAAACGCCCAAGAACAAGCAAATCAGAAACACTCGTCCTTGGTTTTTTCACAGACATCAACATCAGCACTGCCACCACTGAGTGTTTTTTCCACCAAGGGGCTTGGACCCAAAGAGCACGGACTAATGTCGAGCAATTACACCTTGGCTCGCGTTACCACCGATTCCTTGAAAAGTGGCCTCACAGCTTGAAGGTCTCTCCAATCAACACCAGTTCACTTTACGTGGGGCAGCACTATTCCTGCATCTAGTTACATCCCATTGTTTTCTTGACAACAGGAAGTTGCCTTTTTTTACAAGGATAAAGATATGCAGGAGGAATGCATTTTTGCCATACCAGCGCTTACTTCATTCATTTCAATTTGCAAAATATGAAATTATAGATAACAAGTTTGAAATGTATCCGTATTTAACTGCCACCATCACTATAAAATGACATTAATATTGATTCTACAACTGCAATTCACCCCTCCATGTCTAATTGCAATCTCGTTTCATGTTTCAAGAGGTTTTAATGGCGTTTGCACTTCTTCCATTTTCACCCTGTAATTGTCACTGTGGAAAATGCTACTCCCGTTAAGGATAAAAAATATAAGGAAAGATTTCTTGAAGATAACTTTCTTGCTCATTCTGCATTTGCAGGTGTTTGATGGTAACAGATTGCAGGTGTCGTGCAGTTTGTCCTTGGCGAGTCTAATCCTTCGTGATTATGCGCTGATCAAACCAGCCAGGAACCCTGATATTTGTCACCACTTTCACCCGTCCCATCAATTACTTTCTCCACCTGTTTGGCATCTCGGCCCAAGCCCTGTCCTACACTCCGCAGCAAGGCCGAGCCTCAGCAGTAACTTTTTTACCCAGCATGACGGGTGGGTGCGTGAAAATCATCGGTGTTTTCCTGCTGGTTCTGGCTGTGGTTGCATTGGATGCCACCGGCACAGGATCTGGCGATGTGGGGAGAAACAGGCGGCAGGTTACCCAAGCGCCTGATGCCTCGAAAGCGCCCCAGTCAACGAAAGCCGAGGCAGGCATTTCGAAAGGAACCCAAGAATATGTCACAAAGAAAGATGAAACTGGTAAGAGGGACAACGACACTGATTCTCCAGCCGGAGTTTCGCCTGCTACGACGGTAGTGTCGATGGGAAATGAGGGGGTAAACGGCGCGGTGACGACCAGTGTGCCACCGGCTAAGGGCGCTCGCTGTACTGTCATCGTCGTCATGGCAAAGCCTGAGGCATCCGACAACGTGAATTTCACCATGACGTTTGACGAATCCCCGATGTACATTCACGAGGGGGAAGACAAGAATGTAACGATCGTCTACTCCGGTCTGACATTTCCCCGCGTTATGCATCTGAAGACCAGCGACGAGAACATGTTCAGGGTGGTCAGCAACGACACCATGCTCCTGACGACGACAGCAGGAGACGACAACACCACAGTAACGGTCACACTCCGCGGCGTCCGACTCGGCATCACCATGCTCCAAATTTTGTTGTTGGACCCGAGCAACCCCGAGGGCGATGTGGGGATTCTCACGCTGATGGTGAAAACAAAGCGAGTCCCGCGGGTCATCGACGCCATGTTCGACTACATGCTCCTGCCCCTGGTCCTGATCGCCACCTGCGGCATGGGCTGCAAGCTGGACACGGACCAAATCAAAGGCAAGCTGCGGCGCCCGATCCCGGTGTTCGTGGGCCCAGTCTGTCAGTTCATCTGTATGCCGCTGGTAGCGCTGTCCATCTCCAAGCTCTTCCAGTTCGACCCGCTGACGGCCATGGGGCTGATCACGGTGGGCTCCTGTCCCGGCGGCGGGCTCAGCAACATGATCACCCTGCTGTTGGATGCTGACCTGATCATGAGCGTCACCATGACGTTCCTGTCCACCTGCCTGGCTCTCGGCATGCTGCCCCTCAACCTCTTCATCTACAGCCGCTTCTACAGGGCGGAGGGATCCGAGGAGTCGGGCATCAACCTACCCATCACCAATATCATCATGCAGATCTCCTTCCTCACGGTGCCCTTACTCCTAGGGATGCTGATCCGGGCGAAACTTCCCAAGATAGCTCNAGTATGTCATCAAATCCCTCAACATACTCTCTCTCACCCTGGTGCTGCTCACGTTGGGCGTGGGTCTGTACTCCAATACCTACATTGTCTTCTCCCCACCGCTGGTTCTTGTGGGTGGTTTCCTTCATCCAACCTGTGGATTTATAATCGGCTTCCTTCTGTCCAAGTGAGTTTCTAAAGAGAGACACCAAGGTTACATACCCTATCATATTGGCGAGGCAGCATCGAAAAAAAATTTCCAACTTAAACTGCCAATTTACCAGTAATTATTTAGTACTTAAAGGCTTTAATGAAGCCATACTGTTTCGGTCGAGATATCGATTCGATTAAGTAACATTTAAGTGTTGAATTACTCTCCTTCTAAAATTATTCATTTTGATCAATCTGCATGCATGGTTTGTATGAGGTACTGTCGAAAGCAACAGCTGGGGAGGACTGGCTTGCAAAGTGATTTTCCATTTGAAATGCAGTTGTTTTCGTTGATACTAGAAACATTCCATCAATGAAATTGGTGTTATGATAATATTCGCTTTTACCAGGTGTGTGATCAGTCTGTAGGCATCCTCTGGCATTACTTTAATTAATGATACAGGCTTCAATTATGATCATGCATCATAAAACTGCACTCTTAAAACAACCTAGTCAAAATGTTCACTAATGATCCTAGTTGTTCAAATTGACTACGGATTCAGTCAAACACCTACGCTGAGGTAAATTGTGCTTCCTGACAAGATTCCCAATCGATTCCTTTTGAAACATCAATGAACTGACTGAAAAAAATCTAGTCAGATTGACTAATTTCCAGTTGCACCCAGCTGACCCTGAAGAGTCAGTCAAATTTTACTGAATTCTAGTCAGATTTGACTGATCCTTTTTATAGTGTGTGTAAATTATATCTAGTGTCAATGAATACGTTTCTTGATGCTTCCATCATGAAGCAAGGCCACTGGACAGATTTGGAAATAAGTCAAGAGAACATGAATTTCTGAGATCAAAGCGCCCTGAAAAATTTGACACTAGAGAGTAATGAAACACGGCCGCAAGTGTCAACAGTTTCGAAAAGTCCTCCCGCTAAAGCGGGGGGGGGGGTCGTAGTCTTCCTCATCCAACGACCTTTCCATGCGATGCTGGAATATTGATTATTCACATACAGAAATCATTGGATGGAATACGATTTCTTTAGTTTCAATAAAGGTCCTTTGCTGCTGTGTTATTTTCTACACCCAGAGTCGAGCCACAATTAATACATGGTTTTAAATGTAGTTGGTATTTTTTGTTATCTGCAGAATCTTGGCACGATTCCCCAACGAGACGGCTGTGACAGTCAGCGTGGAGACCGGGGTACAGAACAACCTCATCGCCATCTCCATGCTGAAGCTGTCCTTCGACCAGCCGGAAGCCGACATCATGGCCCGCATGCCCATGATCGTGGCCATCTCGGCGATCAGCATCGGCATCGGTATGATAGCGGCCTCCATCCCCATCAACCGCCGCCGCAGACGTAGGGAGAAGCGGGCCAAAGAGCTGCGCGACGTGACCGACAAATACGACTACCACCCTGTGGAGATGGCCGAGAGGTCGTCGAGCGAGGAAGAGGGGGAAGAGAGCGAGGAGCCGACCGTCAGCAACGGGGAGATCGGGCAGAGAAAAGGTTCCGTGCCCTCGTATGACCTGGTGGTGATTGAAAAGCCACCAATCAATGTCGGTGGCCCAGAAACCGTAGTTTAAAGAGTGTTTTGATCTTTCCACGGTCACTGCTTTACATGTACATAATGTACATGCCGGATTTCGCAGTAAAAATCACCAACAGGGAAAAGAATCCCTCTCCGTTTCTTGTTAGTTCCTCTGACCAAAACGACGCCGAATAGCTCGCAAGACACCCAGAAAGCATGTTCCTAAACTCCGAATTAATGGTGATACAATTTGCTGTCGGACGGAGCAAAGGCGCCTTACTTGGGCATACACGTAATTTTGTTGTAGCTATAAAGAATCGGTATGTTTTGTCATATTTTGGGGACACGCGCATATGGCAATGCATGTACATGTAAGCTTATACGCGGGTATAAAGCCAAGTGCATTGTTCAAGCGTTTATCGTTGGCTTCTAGGAATGATTTTGTTGATTAGATGTAACTTCTCTTTCCCAGCTAATTTAGATCACTTCGTTGTCCCAGTAAACGTACAATTAGTGATTGTAAGAACTGTCATTTTTATCCAAGTAGCATTTACCATATGTACCTTTAAAACTCTTAAAATATGATTGGAGAACTAGTATTACTAAGCTATTTAAGCTGTTTAAGCTATTTTGTCAACAAAACAAAATAACTTGTAATTAAAGACATTATGTTTGGGTTATGTCCATTGTTCAAATATACTTCTCACAAAATATGCACGCAGAACTACTTTCGTATAAGGAATGGAGTCTTCAGTACCATTTTTTTCAGTTTCTATATTTTATCAGTATTAATCTGTCTTTAACAGAGACATTTTGTCATCACTAAGCGTTTGTTTTATTTTAAGTGTAAAAAGTGTAAAAAGTGGAAGTAAAAGAGATAGGGAAAAGCGATGTTTTGACCCTTTTGATCTTTTTGTTACTTGACCACCATCTATTTGACGTAAAAGCCTGGAGACCAAGGTTTCAACATTAATTCTTGGACGAGACTTGCTACTGTTTTATTCTTCATATGTGCGCCTTATTCACGCAGCTCACTTAACATTGCCGATTATCTTTAAATAATCACGTGAAATGTTATAGCCTCCTCTATATATTGCATGGCTGTACAATAGAAATTTGTTTGTTTGCATCTTTTTAGTTTATGCGTTGATTTAATATAGTAAAAGTCGACGCAGTCGCAAATCTAACGCAAAAATATCATGCCCATATTCCCAATGCTACCGTTTAAACGGGAGCAAACTGTAAAATTTCACTGCATAAATTGTTTTCCTATAGAGGTGGTCGTAAAATGTTCGTTTATATTGATTAAATGGCCCTGTACAGACCGCAATAAAATAACTGTTTGCTTGGGTAATCTACTATTGCTAGGATTGGTGATCGTTGGCAATCCGTCTTGTCAACATTCTATACTTTATCAATTTAATTCTCGATAATTCCGATAACACCACTAGGTTGCAATGACAAAAGGCTTTATTGGTTAAAGATGGAATACAAGTTGTAAAAAAAAATCAAGCAACAAATGTAACCTTAAATTTCAGCCCCCAAAACAAGTCAAAATAGCACTTCGCCGAATCAGGGTAGCAAGATAGCGAGATGGGAAAGGCCAGGTGAAGGCTACGCTTCCCCGTCTGTTTGTTGGTTGATTTGTTTTGAACCAACCTGCTATATATAAATCCATCCCACTCAGATGATGGTGTAAAATAATTACCAGCAGAAAGTAGCTATCTTGGCAAACCGACTTCAATAAACGGTTGTTCGTTGTCAGGTTCTAATTGGTTACCCATCCTAGAACGAGCAGTTCTTAATTTTTACAGGAATTTTAGGCACGGGAGAACGGGAGTAAGGTGTGGCCGAAAACAACCTGCTGTTTTCCGCCTTAAGGCTTTTATCGCTTGGTTTTTTTTACCTCCATGCCGAAATTCGAATTACTTGAGGGGTAGATTCACGGAGGAATGGTTTGTGGATTGAAGCTATAAAAGAAGACTTGTCGCTGGAATGAGTCTCCCAAAATGGAAACCGTAAGCACTGCCAAAGCCAAAACACAGCACAATCTTAATCAGTCTTGTTACCCGTATACGACCAAGGATAAATCCATGTGTAGGGGGCGAGTGGAAGCGGGTAGGCTCATTATATAAGTGAGAAGACTAGCTATTGATATAGTGTGCCTCCTGTGAGGCAGTACTTTAACAACCGCAGAACGGCCACGTGATGGGACCTTGACTAATAGGAACAGCTACATTGTCTTGGCTTAAATTTGATTTCTGGTTGAGGTTGCACTACACCAAATACGCGCCCATAGAAAACAGTGCAAAATCGGACCGAAATAGCGCCGCCTGTTGACTCTCGTGAAGAGGTTGGCCTCCGTTTTTCACTGAAATTCAAGATTATGGCCAGAAGATCACTTTTCGTTTCAATTTCACGGGGGTTAGACACTCAAAAAAATTTTAATTCGCCTTCCACGGAAGATACCCCCAAAATAGCAGTAAAACTAAGCGCTCATTTCTGAATGTAGCCGCCCGTGTCTATCCACAAAAATTAATAGGCCCGCAATTGGGGCTTTTTGTGAAAGAAATACCCCGAACTGGAAACCATCAGTCCCAAATTCGGGATTTATAGCAATATTTCTATGATCCCTCCTGATTATGGTCTGTCTTATCGTAAATATCCCGTGGGATCACAAAATATTAAGGGTGCATTCCGCCAAATCGTTGTATTTCTGCGCGCGAGCTCATTAAATATATTTTAAGAAACTGTTTAAAAGCAATTATGTTCAATCTGCCTGTAGTATGGGATTTACAACCACACCAGGGACGTGTCTCCCATCATGACTATCATGCGGCACAGAGGCGATAGCCCTATCGGTTCCGAGACTTGTTGAACTTTAAACAGGGTAAAATGGATTGACCGATATTTCGGCTCCCCTTTCTCTGCCCAATATTATCGGTAATCAGGAGCAGTGATTACAGATGGGAAGGCGATATAGTAGGGGGAATCTCTGACCCGCAGAATCGTCTGAAGGTCCCACTACAGAGTGCACAGGTGCCCCCAGCTCGTATTGTTCACTGGCAGATCCAGGGGAGGGTCCATGGGGCCGTGCCCCTGCCAGCGAAAAAACCTCTTTTTTTTGAAAAATAGTGACAACAAATATATTCAAATCTCTTGTTCATCCTTCTAAAGCTTGTAAAACTCACGACATATTTAGCCTCGGAAAATTCATAAAAGGTTACAAAAAGAAACGTCTTTTTTTTTTGCTGAGCCCCCAAAATTTGGCTCTTGATTCGCACTTTTTACCAAACTGCTTTTAATGTGAAAGTATGTTCTCTTGACCGCGTCAACTATCGTTTGGCAATCTCGTAGTAGCCATTTTATGGCTCATTGATTTCTCGAATCCTGCTTTCATACATTTTGGACACAAAACCAATATAGTGCTTAGAAAAACTTGCCGCTGCGTCCGTAAGTCTGCCCCATTCAGGCTGAGACCGTCTGTGGAAATAATGCCTGATTTCATGCAAACCTCGGCATCTAATGCTAACCAATGCAATTTCGGAGAGTGCTAGGGTGTTGTTCGTCTGGGTGTCGAGTTCGTCTTGTACTTTTAAAATAAAAAATACATTTGTAAAATAAAAAATTAAATAAATCTTTATAATGAAAATGATAAATAACGCAATTAAATAAAAATTAGATTAAAAAAAAT